ACCCTCTATGTCTTTCCCTGGGACTGTTGATGTGCTTGTCCCCCTGCCCAAGGACCGGTTTATTTACTGCTTTGTTTTGAAGGTATTAGGGTGCTCCAAGAGGAGTCACATGACCTCTCTTAAATGTACTCAAAACCCCCATTTCCCTGCCTGGGAACTTGGAAATGAATAAATAAATCACTTTTAATTGCTGTATATCTGTCCATAGGGTCAAGTACCTTGGGATGGAGGCTTTCCTGAGAGCTGTCCTGCCCATACTCTGCTGCCAGTGTCTAGCCCAGATCTATCCCTTCAAAATCCTGGAAAACCCTGGAGAGGAAGAGGTATGAGAAAGGAAGAGGGAGCTAATTAGAACCTGAAGGAAGGTGGGGCTGTGGGCAGGCACACAAGATCTCAGGCATCAACAATCCTGAAGATAGAGAAAGCTTTAGAGGGGCTCCAGCCCCACACAGGCTGGGCAGACTCAGGACAGGTCACTTAATGCCTTCTCTCTTTTTTTTCAGCCAAGGACAAGGTTTATTAGAACATCCATCATATCGGGCAGACTCTTAAGGAGTCTGAACATTAGTAAGCTATTGGCTAGATTATAAGAATCTGATTATGTGGCTAGATTTTAAGAATGTAAGCCATGGATGGATTTTAAGAATCTCAGCATCTTAATGGAGACAAGATGGACCTTATATATACAGAAAGACTATGGAAAGTATCTAGGAGTGGCCAAGCAGTCTATGAGGGAATAGAACTCCAAGGGTTGCCAAGGGAGAAAAGAGCCTAGTTAGGATTAAGGGTGGGAAGTGGCCTGGGGTGGGGGGGGAATTTAGGGTGGTAAAACAATGGAGGGCTAGGTTAGGTTAAGGGTAACAAAATTGGGAGATTGGGTGTAGCCACAAAGAAAGGACAGTTGACTGGATGATAGCCTCAGGCCAAGAGCAGAGATTTGGCCAGGTGGGAAAGTCCAGGGTTTTTCCTTTTTGGGGTCTAGATCTCCTTCTCATCATTCCTCCCTCAAACAAAAGGGATCGCTCAATGCCTTCTTTGGACACAACATATAGTCATTTCTATGGAAGGCAAGGGTGAATAGGGCCAGTCAGAGAGCCCAGACTGGGAAGGGGCACCAACCAGAGGGTGGGTGACCTGCCAGACCCATTGTGGCTTCTGTGACTCACCCTGTGAGGAAGGAGAAGGTAGAAGAGACCTGGGTGATAATCCTGGCACTGTCCTATCAGCTATGTGACCGGGGGGAGGAGGGGGTTATCTGCCCACACTGAACCTCAGGTTGCTTTTCTGTAGAATGAGGATCATGACATAGGAAGGGGGACAGAAGTCTCAGATTCAAGGCTCTGGATTCCCAAAGGTACTTCCTCTCCTAATTGACTGTGCTCCTTCTTTCTCCAAGAGGACCAAAATGACATCACTATATTGAGGTCAAGGTACAGTGTGTCCACCTCTGGCTGAACAGACCAATACAAGCTGGGAAGGCTCCAACCCACATCAGGCACAAATACTCCATATGAACAACTCCTATTTTCAGAAAGCAATAAAGGTTTCAAAGTACATCGCTCCAAACAACACTCTCATTTCCCATTTTAACAGTATCTGCTTGACAGTTTTAAAATACAGGATTCATTTTACCAGTCAGACACTCATGAATTTTTTTTAACATCCTTATATCAGAAACAGGATGTAGTTAAAGAAAGAAACAGCAAGTGGCATATAAAAACTGAAATAGCCTGAAGTTTCAGGATTGGAGAACCAAATTTAAGACACTGTACTAAATTATATGAAGTTTTGTTATTTTCAGATTTTAGCAGAATTGTCTAGGCAGCTTCTGCAAGCGATTTGGAACCAGAGAAACAGAGCTCCTCCAGAGCTGTCTTGAGAATCAGATCTCTTCCAGAATGCCCAAGAGAAGATGTTTGCTGGCACCAGAGGGCTACAGGAGGCATCTGGGCTTCAAAATCTGCTGATTAAATGGACATTGGGAGTGGGTTACTAGGGTGCAAGGAGACTTGAGCTTAATTAATCTTGATGATCATTATTGTTTTCCTTGGACCTTGTTTCATGCAGTTTATATTTATGTTGAAGTTTTCTTGGTTACCTCGTTGACATGTAAATCTCTCTTCTCAAAATTAATTCATTGTATGGCCTCTAAAGAGTTTGGTTTGTAACCTGACTTAGATAGTTCTGATCATAATTTATGAAAACCCTGATGGGCTTAATTTACAGATAAATACTCTAGGGGAGGAATGGGTTTTCCACTCCACCATTAATTAAAAGGGAGAATTGTGGGGATTAAGGGGAGTAGAACAGCAAGTGATTAATTGTAGGAGTTGAGTGAACTTCACTGACTCCATCCCTAGATTCAGTTCTGGACCTAGCCCAGTTCAATTTCTTCTCAATTATGGGTCTAGTACAAATTTTTTCTTCGGGAAAAACTTTGGGACAAAGCCTTACTGTATTGTTTGAAACTAGCCCTGCATGGCTGGGATGGGGACCACCTCTCCCTGCTACTTAGAGTTCCTGAACTGAGGAACTGTTATGCTGACCAGAAACCTGGCCAGGTCCAAACATTGATGCAAGTAGTTTTCCCACAATTCTACATCAGAAACAACCTGTATGTCTTATCTGAAAATTGGCCCTATACTGGTCAGTCAGTTACTGTTTCCATATTCCTTTGATTGTATGAAAACACTTGGGGGGAATGGGACATTCCTTTGTCTGAATTCAGGAAATTGTACCTGTTGACTCTTTCTCTCTCAATTTGGAAAGTTCTTAATCATTCCCCCAATTAGAAATCAGATTAGCTAATATTGTATTGTTTCCCTTTAAGTAATTGGCTTATTTTGATTATCTTCTATGTACAAATATCACTCTCCCCCTGTATTTGGGGGCTGCCCTAAGGTGAGGAAGATGCCAGGTTTATTGGCAATTGCCAGGCATTGCTTAAGACATAGATAAGCTTGGAAGACAGAGCCTTTGTCTCCTCAGTCATTTCATCTTTCATCCATAACATCTAGGAAGGGATGTGGTGCAAGGATGGTTATCTCTTTTTATGGAGGAGGAAAGTGAGATTCAGAGTGGAGATATGACTTGACCACAGGTCACACAGCTGGCAGTGCAGGGAGTGGGGGAGTGAGGTGGTGCCAGGACTGTGGAGATGAAGGAACTGGAATCAGGCTTAGGATGTGAAGCACTTGGAGTTGGTGGTGGGGCTTGGCAGGAGGGGAGCTGTGTCTGTTCTGCCCTGCTCACTGCTGGGAGCTCCCTCTGCCTGGGGATCATGTCTTTTGTTATTCCAACCTCTCCAAGGTTTATGGAGTGCTTCTCTTACACTTGAGATAGATGATGGGAGAAGGAATAGTTAGGGGAGTTTGGCTTGGGTACCTGAGCCTTGTCTTCAAGTACAGAGGCGCTACCCTACAGGAGAGGATTTAGCCTGATCCTGCTCAGCCCCAGAGGCAGAACCAGAAGGAATTGGGGAAGGTACAGAAGGAGCTGTCCATTCAATCCAACCATAGGAGCTGTCTAGAAGTGGAACCAGTTGATGCCATATGGAATGAGTTCCCATTGTTGTAGGTGTTCAAAGGAAACCTAGTGACCATTTAGAGGGAATATTTCAGAGGAAGATTTTATTTCAATAGTTGTCTGAGGTCTCTTCCAAGTGGAGATTTGATGACTCAGTTAGAGAACAGGGACAAGGACTCATTCTGTCTTGATATGGTGTGCATAGGGAACTCCCAGGTAAACAAAGGGTCCCCCAAATATAAGTCAGTACCTTCCTTGAAACTTTGAGACTTTGGGCAGAATGCATTCACCAGTTTCTTCTACTAACCCTCTGGGCAGTCTGGTGAAACCCTTCTGAGAAAAAAAATGATTTTTTTTAATAGTAGAAGACAATAATACATTTCAGGGAATGTATTTTCAGGGAAAATAAACATTCATTTTTTCCCCCTCTCCAAGTTCAGAAATCCCTTGCAATCTATCTGTGGATTCCAGTGTGATCTGTGCACTCCAGGTTAAAAACATCTATCTTAGTGACTTCAAGAACTGAGAAATTGGGTGACTTGGAAGGAGAGATTTGAACCTAGGTCTTCTTGACTTTAAGGGAGTGCATTTCTACGGACTATGATGCCCTACTTTTAATTCTATTATGATCCCAATTTACAGATGAGCAAACTGAGGGTCAGAGAATGTTTATGACTTAGAGCTTCAAGTCCCCCTCCTCAAAGGATCAAGAGTCAGGGGTGAAAGAGTAGGCAAGATGGCAAAAGATGATCCCTTCTTTTCCCTCTGGATGCTCATGACCCCTCATCCTCTCTCCATCAACCATCCCCCTTTGGTTTAATGGAATCACAGGGGCTGTACCCTCTGACTTTGCACCTTGGTTTCATTGGCCTCAAGGTGTCAGTGGAGGGATCTGTGGGTGTCCCAGGGGAGGGTGTGTCACAGGCTTCCTGGGGCCCCTATCCTGGGGCCTTTGCTTGTGGTCAGAATTTCTACATTTGTCAAGAAACCAGTAGCTTTCTTAAGTTTCCCCCAGGGTTTGCTATCCTCGGATTAGGATTTCCCCCTTCAGATGGACTCTTTGGAGGCCAAAAGGGTGACTCTGACCCAGACCAGAGCATGGCCTTCCCTCCACAGTATGCCCTCACCCCATTCCTGCCAATAGCAGATTCTCGTTCGTTCTGAAACTAGCTTTCCATTGGCTCCCCGATCTCTCTAGCGCGCGCTCCAACCTCATCCCATACAGGGCAGTTTTTGGCGTTTGGATGTGGGGAAAAGGCTAGAAAAGGGTGGAGCTTGATGTGGAGGGGACTTGACAACAGGAATGTCACCACCATGATTGGCCTGACCTTCCAAGAAAGGCTTCAAAAATTCCCCAGGCCCCGCCCCTGATATGCCGCCCCTCCCCTTTTGTGCTCCGCCTGGAGGAAAAGTTCGAGAGGGCGTGGCTGGGGTGGGGTGCTGCTCTGGACTCCACAGAAGCCCAGAGCCCGACCTTCTATTTGAAGGCTCAGACGCGTTCCTGATTCACCATCTCTGCGCTGGAGTTGGACGTTATCTTTCGGGACCCAGCGCAGCCAGGAGAATCGCAGGAACATTTCTCACCCTCCATTATGCCCCAAGTGAGTGCGCCAGGGTATAGGCTGCGGGGGTTCTTGCACAGGTTATAGGCTAAGGGTCCGAGGGTGGGGGATCCTCTGGGGTTGGTGCTTAGAAAGGATCCTGAAGATTCCTGGAGGCTGTGTTCCCGAGCGGGTGGGAACGTTCTACCCTTCCTCTGCGTATGGACTGGGGTACCTTTCTCTTCTCCATCCCCCCAACCCGATCTTCCCAGCCCTGGGGACGGCTGCCCCTCCCATGCCCCCCCCATGCCCCCTCACCTTGAAGCTGTCCGCTATCCCTGGCTGCCGGTGCAAGGTCTTTCACAACCTGGTAAGTTCAGAGAGATCCTGGAGAGTGGAGAGTAAGGGAAAGTGGGACTTGGCATGGGTTAGAGTAGGGCAGGGGTGGGGAACCTGCAGCCTCCAGGCCACGTGTGGCCGATTAGGTCCTCAGCCCTTTGACTGAATCCAAACTTCACAGAACAAACTGCCTTAATAAAAGGATTTGTTCTGTAAAACCTGGACTCAGTCAAAAGACTGCACCCAAGGACCTAGAAGGCCACATGTGGTTTCCAGGCCACAGGTTCCCCAGTCCTGAAGGAGGGTGTTGCTTGGCTGTTAGGGGGTACATGTGCATGAGGATGAGGGTAGGATGTGGAGAATCCCCCTCCTTGAGGAGAGAAGGAAGGGAAAGGGAAGAGGTGGCAGAGAGGAATCGTCTTCCAGAGGATCAGACTTTCTGGAATGAGTGACTGTCTCATACAGTTAACTCCATCCCAGCCTGATTGTATGCAGAGAGTGCAGGCTGAGGAGGCTGGAGATGGCCAACAGGGTGGGATAGGAGGCAAGTGATTCCTAAGGTCCTTCCAAACTCTAGTCCTGTCCCCTTTAAAGACAAGACCGAATTAACCTCACAAATACACTTCTTGCTTCTTCTCTAGGTAACCCACAAGATAAGTCTGTCCCTTCAATCCCCCCAAGACTTCTCTTTTGATTTAGAACAAGGAGGGACCCCACATCTCTGCTGCCCTGTTGCCTTACTCTTCTTCTAAAGAGTTGGGGGACCCCAGAAGCTGAGTTCCTTGATCTTACTGTTGCTGCCAAGTTCACCCTCGATTCCCCATTCCTTCTGAACCTCCCCCTCCCTTGCCAACTCCCCTTCTCCTGGGCATGGCTGGGTCCTGCCCTGGATTGGGAGCAGGACTTGGTTCTGGGGAATGGGGGAAGTTCTTCCTGAAAACTTTGCTGGGGAGGAATTCCTTCCCTGCTTAGTGAGATGAGGGCACCTGTCAGAGAATGAGGAAGAGGGCAGGATAATGACTAGGGTGTATGGGGAAGGCAAGGGAAGGCTTGCCTAGCTACCAGGGAGTTCCCTCATTGAACTATAGGCTGTCTCTTACCCTTGGAATACCACCAGGTTCCTACCTTCCCCCTTCATCCTTGCCCAAGGGCCAGTATACATATGATGCTAGACAAAAATGGTGTTGTGGGATCCAGTGTGACAGAGAGAACATGGACCTATGAACCAAGAAAAGCATGTATTCCACTTCTGATGCTGTTGCTCACTCTTGTGATCTTGGGCAGGTCCCTTCTTACTTCCTGGAGCCTCTGTTTCCTGATCTGTAAAGTGAGGAGTAGACTGGATCAATCATCTAGGGTAGTTCCTCATTTAAGAGATAAGGAAACTGAGGCCCAGAGACATGAATTGGCTTCCCCAAGGTCACAGAGCTGGGACTGACTTCCTCTTCAGCGCCAGCTAACCTGGAGGAGCACATGCTTTCCCAAAACCTTTCCCAGAACCTGGAACCTGCCTCAACCCCAACCAGAAGCTCTGGGTCCCCTCCACTCCCTGCCAGCCCTAACCTTACTGTATTTGGGCTTTTCAGAATATGTATATTCAAGAATTGGACCTTCACCATGGAGCGCTTATAAAAATAAAAGGAGATATACTGCCTAATGCATCAGTGTAAGTGAGAGATGGGAGGCATAAGACAAAATTTCACCCTGAGGGAGGACTCAATCCTTTACAAATCTGCTGCACTCGACCTTGATTAGAAGCATTGAGCTAATTTTGTCTCAGCCCCAGACAGCAGGGCCATGACTCTCAGCAACAGGAGTTACTCAGTACCTGGAATGGATGGTTTGGATAGGTAGTGAGCTCCCTGCCTCTGGAGGCAGTAAAATGTGTACCATGGTTACTTGCTGAACAGGGTGGGAGTAGGAGGGGATTTCAGAAGAGAAGCCAAGGTGTTTCAGGTCAGGATTGGGAGAGAGGCCCTTTGGGGTTCTTCCACTCTGGCACTCTCACAGAGGGGGTTTCCAAGGCTCTGAGACCCATGCCAATGATGGAGATGTCTTCTCGGTTCCCAGGTTTAAAATTAACCTGGGCAAGGACCAACAAAAGCTTGGCTTTCACTACAATGCACGCTTCAACTATTATGGTGACTTGCATACAATCATCTGCAATGACCTGTCCGAAGCCCGTTGGGGTACAGAACAAAGGGAGCGCAACTTTCCCTACGTGAAGGGGACCACAGTGGAGGTAAGAGCAGAGACTCAGAACATGAAACATGGGAGCAGGGAAGGACCTAAGAGATGATCTCATCTGGCCCTTGTATTTGAAGGAAAAGTCTTGGAAGCAAGTTCGGATGAGGAAAAGATGAAAAGCTAGAGGAGCGAGGGGTCAGCAGGTTTCCAAACGTCGACGGCAAGAAGCCCAGCATCCTCAGAGCTGAACTGGGGGATGGGGAAAGGGAGGGAGTAGTGAAGGACCATGGTCCCAATAGAATTAGAGAGGACTCTGGGGTAGCCCAGGACACAAAATAGGATGCTAGACTTAGAGCTGCAAGGAACCTCAGGAGCAATCTAGCCTGACCCTCTTATTTTACAGAAAGGGAAACTGAGGCTCAGCTTGAGGCTTTGCCCAGGGTCACATAATGTCTTTGTAGTAAGTGTCTTGAGGTGGAATTTGAACCCAGGTCTTCCTGTCTCCAAGCCCAGGGTTGTGGGTTCAACTCCTTCTGTCCTCTCCCCCCTTCAGATTTGCATAAGCTTTGAAGAAACTGCTTATAAAGTGACAACGCATGATGGCTATGAGTTCACTTTCCCCAATCGCCTTCAGCTTGAAAAACTAGAATTCGCCTCATTTCAAGGTGACTTCAATGTTAGAAAAGTAGACTTCGATTAAGCCCTCCAATCAAACCGGCTTCAGACATTTTTTGACCTTTGGGTCTCTGTTTTTACTAATAAAAGTGCTGATGATGATAGCAGCTGACGTTTTCTGTGTTATTCTGGTCTGGGAGAGAAAGGGCTGCATTTGGAGGCCAAGACCTTTCACCCCCATGGTCCTTTGGTGACTCTCTGGGACAGAGGTTCTCCACCTGGTATCCATGAGTAATTTTTAGATGGGAAAAAAATGCCCTCTTTATTGTCACTAACTCTTGGTTTTCCTAGTCTTACTCTTCATTTTTATATATTTATGACCTTATTCTACTTGATACCATATTACCTGCCTGTTAAGTGTATAGGGGAAGAGCTAGAGGGAGGGAGAGAATTTGGAACCCAGAAAATTTAAAAAAACAGTATTAAAAACTAATAAAAAATAAAACTTTCATTAAATGAAGAAACACCACAACCACCACCACATTATTCTGAGAAGTGGCCCATGTGTTTCCCCAGATTGTCAGGACTCCAGGCCATAATACAAAAAAAGGTGCTGAGCATTTCCAAGTCTTGACCTATCCCTGATTAGCAATGGGGAAGGGATTTCCCACAGTAGTAACTGCAGGAGAACCTCTGCATATTAGTGAAGGGAGGGGCCCAGCACACAGACCATGGGCAAGCCCAGCTGCTGGAAAGGTGCTGAATACAAACCAGGGAAGCACTGTGTCCCTTTGAGGACCAGCCTAAGGAAGCTCAGAGACATCAGGAGGCAAGATGGCAGGAGAGGGGAAATCCATTCACTGGCTCTGGAGTCACAGGTATTGGGTTTGAATTTGACCTCTGATCCTCACTGCCTAAGTGACCTTGGAGAAGTCCCTGGGTCTCAGTTTCCTCAGGGGTAAAATGAAGAGCTTGGCCTCCAAGGCCCTTCAGCTTTCTACTCCTGTGCTCCACTAGGCTCAAGTCATTCCCCCTGCCTCAGTTTCCTCCTCTGTAATGTGAGGAAGTTGGACCAGATTGCCTCTGGGGTCCCTTCTGTGAGCCTCCTCTCTTCTTCTGAAGTATAATAAATTCTTTGAGTGTCCCATACATTCATGTGTCTTCCATCCCCAACTCTCAGCACAATTCCCTTTGCATACTTGGACCCTTTAAAAGCACTAGACCCTAGATTTAGGGCTGGAAGGGGCCTTCCAGGCCAGAGTCTATGCCCTTCATTTTACCACTGAGGAAACAGAGGGAAGGAAGTGATTCACCCAGCTCGTAAGTGCCTGAAATGCGATTTGAACCCAGACCTTCCTGACTCCAAGCCCAGCGCCCTAGACACCATGAATCATAAAGCTGGTTCTGAATCCTAGCTCCCACACATTGTAACTGTGTGACCACAGACCACTCACTCAGCCTTTCTGAGTTTCCATTTCCTCATGCATCAAGTGCGGAAAATGGCTTTTCCTAGTCACCTACCAGATTAAGGTTGCTATGAGGAAAGTGATATAGAAACACTAGAGATAAGGGAGCTCTTCCTATTGGGAGTGAGAAGATCTGGATTCAAATCCTAGCTCTGCCCTTTACTGCCTGCGGAGATCCACCCCTCACCTAGTGCAGAGACATTCTCTGTAACTCCTATGACAAGCCATTGCTTGAATATCATTAACAATGGAGGTCTCAATCAGTTCCACTGTCAGGCAGCTTCGATTCTGAGGAAGTTACCCTTCATTTTTTTACTCTGGCTTTCATTGATTGGCCAACAATAGGCCCAGGCCAAACCCTACTTGGTCACTGCTTGGGCCCTGATTGACTCTCAGTGAATGTAAGGAGCAGCTGTTTCTGTTTGGCCCAGAAACCCTGAGGGTCTTCCCCTCACAGACTGATTTTTTCATTTTTCTTTTTTTGACTTGGTAAAGAGATCATTCTCTGCCTCTTTTCTTACCTATCCTTTATCACTGAATGTGCCTTGCCTCAGTCAAACTGAGACCTGTTAAAGACCTTAGCTTAAAAAGGCCAAGGTCTCCCTCTGCATCCAGGGCCATCTCCAGTCATCTTGATCTCTATCTTGCCCACAAGGACTGGACAGGAGAAAGATACACTGGGAGCTGTAGTGACAACCCTGCACAAAAGTGGCCCAAGCCATAGGGTCTTCTCACTTCTCACTGCAGCAGTGGAATTCGGCAGCCCCCAGGCTGTCTGAAGCAATCTCATAAGAATAGTACTGCTCACCTCCTATAGTGAGGAAGAGGATAGAAAAGGTGCTCTAAAAATTGTCTGCCTACCCACCCCTGGATTGATTACTGAAGCAGGCAGGGATCCCACCCTATAGATGAAACAAACAAAAAAAAAGTACAAACACTTTTCCAGAGATGATTCCTCTCACCTTTGGTACTGGGAATGTGCTCACAGTTATGGACCACAAAAAAATCCCTTAGACCTCTAAGACAAACAGCTCTTGTTGTGAGAGAATTCAGCTGGTATCCCAGGCAAATAGCAGCCCTGAGTTAACACCAAGAAAACACAGATTCTCCACCAGTTAGCACAACACTATCCATATGTGGAGCCATTAGTTAAAGCAAATGGAAGATTCGGATAATCACCTGACAAGAGGAGGTGCTGGACCCTGAGGTCCTTTCTGGGACTGCATTGCCAGGCATTCTGGCCATTCTGTTCCAATATCAAATATAGGTTTGTGTAAAAGACTAGTTTAGAGAGAAACCACACAGGGATAGTGCTCACACAGAGGTCAGAAGAAGTGCTTAAGGACTCTCTCAAGATCTCTCTAAAGAACTTTGGAATCAATGAGACATGCAACACACTGGCACAGGACCAACCAGCATGGTGTGCCCACACCAAAGAAGGCAATGTGGGGTACAAACGAAGCAGAATTGCGGTGCTCAAAAGAAACGTGACATGCTCAGATTTAGAGACATCTCTGCTCCAAATGTTGATGTGTACTATTTGTGCCCGACCTGTGGTATAATGTTCTGAGCTTGTATTCCTCTGATCAGCCACAGTTAGACACTGTACCTTGATTTCAACATAGTGAGGTCATTTTGGTCCTGTTTGAGGCCAAAGAACAAGAACCATATGCCTACAGATACTTCATTCAAAGTATCTGAGCCTCCCTTTGCTGATTTTTTAAACTGGCATCCTACATCAATTGGGAATGGCTAAACATGTTGTGGTATATGAATGTAATGGAATGCTATTGTGCTATAAGAAATGATGAGCAGGCAGATTTTAGAAAAAATCTGGAAAGACTTACATAAACTGATGCTGAATGAAGTGAGCAGAACACAGTAACAGCAACACTGGGTGATGATCATCTTTGATAAACTTGGCTCTTCTCAGCAATGCAATGATCCAAGACAATTCCAGAAGACTCATGATGGAAAATGCTGTCCACCTGCAGAAAAAGAACTTATGGAGTCTGAATGTAGATTGAAGCACACTATTCTCTCTCTCTCTCTTTTTCTTCCTAATGGATTTCCCTTTTGTTCTGATTTTTCTTTCAAAACATGACTAAGATGGAAATATGTTTAATATGACTGTACATGTATAGCCTACATCAGATTACTTGCCTTCTGTGGGGGGAGGAAGGGAGGGAGGGAGAAAAAAATTTGGAACTCAAAATCATATAAAAGTAAATGATGAAAGCTATCTTTATATGTAATTGGAAAAAATATAATACTATTAAGTGGGAAAAAATAAAAGGAAAAAAGAGAAAAAATTAATGGTCATTCTAATCAAGCTTCCTTAATATGGTTGTCCTAAGGATCAATAATAACATTGATATATAACTCTTTAAGGTTTGCAAAGCACTTTACAAATATTATCACATTTGATCCTCATAACAACTCTGGCAGGTAGGCTTATTATTACACTCATTATATGGGTGGAGGAAACTGAGTCACGCAGAAGTTCAAAAACTTGTCCAGGGTCAGAAAGCTAGTTAAGTATCTGAAGCAGCCTTTTCCTGACTTCAAATCCAGTGCAAGGTGCCCTATGGAGCCTCCTAGCAGCTCTGGCTTCATAGAATAACATTGTACCTCTGCTTTCACTGAGTCTCATGGGCAGGAATGTAAAGGGGGGGAGTGGCAGGGACCCCAAAGGAGCCTCCTTGTGCAGCCAAAGAATGAGAACCAGGCTAGGTGCTCCCCTTAGACATCCACAGACCTTTCCCTGACAACGAGACCCAAAGAAACAGAGGTACAAGGTCAGAGGTTATTGCATCACTTTCTGAGGAACCTCAGCCTGCCTCCCTCCAGCCTCATGATGGGGATGGGACAGAGAGTGCTTTCTGATGGCGGAACAGAAAAGCAAAGGCTTCTCTATCCTCACACCTAGTGGAAGCACCTAGGGTCAGACGACCTCAGTACAACTCCTGGCTCAGCTCCTCACTGCCCAAGTGACACTGGGGCCTCAGTTTCTCCACTTGTTAAGAAATCGGATGATTTCTTAGGTCCCTCAACACTATGAAATCCTCTGATTAGGATTTCCCGCTTCAGATGGACTCTTTGGAGGCCGGGGGGTCTGACTCTCACCTAGACCAGGGTTTAGCCATCTCCCCACATGGCCCCAGCTCCTTTCCTCCCATATCAGTTGTCAGTTCACTCTGAAATGAGTTTTCCACGGACCCCACCAATCTCTCTACCACTCGGCCCAACCCCATCTCCCAAAGGACATTTGGGGCGGGGGTTGGATGTAGAAGAAAATGCAAGAACAGGACTGAGCTAGAGGTAGGGGTGTGTGGCCAAAGGCTTGTCTCCTCCTGGATTGGCTGCCCCTCCTAGAGAGACTTTAAAAACACTATCGGCCCCGCCCCAAAATTGGCCTTCTCCTCTTTTGTGCTCTGCAATGGGGGAAAGTGACAAAGGGGAAGGCTGGAGGCTTGTGGAGGCGGGGACTTCAAGGAAGCCAGACTGTCTATTTCAAGGGTCTCCCACCTCCCTGAGTTACCATCTCAGAGTGGGAGTTGGACTTCATCCTTCAGAAACTCACAGCCAGGACAATCGAAGGAGCATTTCTCACCCTCAGTCATGGCCAGAGTAAGTGTGCCAGGGGCTCCTTGTCCTGGGTATAGTCTTAGGGTCTCGAAGTGAAGGATCCTCTGAGCTTGAGGCTTGGAAAGAATCTGGGACACTCGAGAAGAGTGTGTTGGGGGGGAGGAATGTTCTAACCACACCACACCACTCCCTTGTCCCACGTGTCAGGGCTCCTTTCTCTTCTCCTTCTCTAACATCTTTTACCCGGACCTCTCCAGCTCTGGTAAGGGCGAGCCCTTCCATGCCTCATCCCCCTTGCAAATTGTCTTTGACAAGCTGGTAAGTTCAGAGACATCCTGGGGAGAGGCTAGCAAGGAGGAATTGGGACTTGGCATGGAGTAAATTTAGGGCTATGTCCTCTGCCTCTCAAGGGAAATGTCTCCATGGGGGTGGGGGTAGAATGTCGGGCAATCCCCTTCCTCCAATAAATAGGAAAGGGAAAGGGGCCAGGTGGAGGGAAGGGGGAATGGAGACAGAGATGAATCTTCTGCCAGAAGACCAGACTTTCTAGAATAAATGACTGTCTTACAGAATTATCTACAACTGAACCTCATGGTACAGAAAGAGTCCAGGCTGAGAAGGGTCTGTTGAAAAAGGAGGGGGCTAGAGATGGAAGAATGGGTGGGCCAGGGGGGCAAGTGATTCCTTAGGTGATTCCTAATTCTAGCCCATCCCCTTTTTCCCCCCCTTTAAAAATAAAACAATAAATCTCACAAACACACTACTTCCCATTTCTCTAGGAAATCAGCTCATAGGATTTCCCTCCCCCTGCCCCCCAAGGACTTCTTCATTGATTTGGTTACATGAAGGGACCCTACAGCTCTGCTGCCCTGATTCCCTTACCCTTTTACCCCTGGGCAGGAGAAGCTAAATTACTTCACCTAAGTGTTTCAGTCAAGGTCACCCTTGATTCTAAATTCTTTCTGAACCTTCCCTTCCCTTGCCAACTCCCCTTCTCCTGGGCAGAGCTGGCTGCTGCCCTAGACTGGGACCAGGACTTGGCTCTGCAGAAGAGGGAAGCTCTTCCTGAAAACTTTTCTGAGGAGGCTTTTTTTATTTGCCTGCTAAATGAGATGAAGGCAGCTCTGGGAGAGTGAAGAAGAGGGCAGGAGAGTGACTGAAGGTATTGGGGAGGCAAGGTAAGGTTGACCTAAGCTGCCAGAGAGTTTCCAGTTGAGCTGTAGTCTATCTCCTACCCTTGGTGTAGCACCACTGTCCTCCCTTCCTCCTTCATCCTTGCCCATGAGCCAGGGTACATGTGATGTCAGCCAAAGATGGAGATGAGGTATTTAGTGGGACAGAGAGAACTTGGTTCTGGGGTCCAGAAAGCTTGGATTCCAGTTCTAATTCTGTGCTCACTTGTGTGACTGGGGACAGGTCCCTTTTTCCTTCTTGGAGTCTCTGTTTCCTGATCTGCAAAATGAGGAATGGACTGAATCAATCACCTAGGCTAGTTCCTCATTTAACAGATAGGGAAACTGAGGCCCAGAGATATGAAGGGGCTTCCCCAAGGTCACAGAGCTGGGACTGACTCCCATTTCAGCAGGAGGAGGAGAGCCTGGTTTCCTAGATCCTTCCTGGAGGGTGGCCCTGCCCAACCAGAAGCTGTGGGTCCCCTCAGCTGCCAGCCAGCCCTAACCATGCTATGCTTACTCTCTTCAGCAAATGTTTGCCCATGACATGAACCTGAAACCAGGAGCATTCCTAAGAATAGTGGGAGACATATTACCTGATGCCAGGCAGTAAGTGAGACATGGGATGGATGACAGAAAACCATGGGTGACAGCTGAATCCTTTGCACATCTTCTTGCACCTGACACTTGATTAGAAGCACCCAGCTGGTTTTGCCTCAACCCCAGATGGCAGGGCCATGACTCAGCTTCAAGGAAAACTTCCTAATAGGAGCTATCCAGTACCTGGAATGGACAGTTTGGATAGGTAGTGAGCTCCCTGTCTCTGGAGGTTGTAAAATGTGTACAACGGTCACTTGTGTGACTAGGTTGGGGTAGGAGGGGTAATGGAGAACAGAAGCCATGGTGCTTCAAGTCAGGATTGGGTGAGAGTCTCTTGGGAGGTCGTTTAGCCCAGGGATTTTCTGAGTGGTGGGTTTGCAAGGCTGTGGGCCCCATGGTAATGATGGAGATGTGTTCTCAATTCCCAGCTTTGCAATAGATTTGGGCGACACTTACGATAACCTTGCACTGCACTTCAACCCTCGCTTCAACTACCGTAACTGTCACAATGTTGTCATTTACAACACCTTGTATAATGAATATTTTGGCAAGGAAATAAGGGACTCCTACTTCCCCTTTCAGAAGGGGACCAGAATGGAGGTAAGACCCCAGAATCAGAGCACGTCATGTCAGAGCTGGGGAGGGCCCAACAGATAATCTCATCCCCCCACCTTGCATTTGATAGAAGAGCCCTGGAAACAAACTCATGAGGAAAAGATGAAAACCTAGAGGGGAAAGGGGTCCCAGCATCCCTTGAGCTGAAGTTTGGGGAGAAAGGGAGGGAGTTGGGCTGGGATATGGTCCCAATAGGACAACAGAAGACTAGAGTGCCTTATGACACATAATAGGACCCTGATGTAGAGCTGCAGAGAACCATCTGGACTGACTCCCTCCTTTTGCAGAATAAGACACTGAGGCTCAGAATGGAGAAGTGATTTGCCTAAGATCATGCAGGGTCTTGTTTAAGTGTCTTGGGGTGGAATTTGAACCCAGGTCTTCCAGTCTCCAGTTTCTGTTCAGTTTCTGCTGTCCCCTCCCCATTCAGATTTGTATACAACTTCAAGAGACTTTCTTTGTGGTGAAGCTGCCTGACGGCTATCAGTTTAGTTTTCCAAATCGCACTAAGATAACAACCATTGACTATGTGGGAATTCACGGGGACCTCACAATCAGAGCAATTGCCTTTGAATAAGCCTCCAAATCAAGCCAGCTTCCCAGCATTCTTGAATCTTGGGTCTCTCTTATTACTAATAAAAGTGCTGCTGATGAGAACAGCTGACTTTGTCTGTGTTATTCTGCTCTGGGTCAGAGAGGGCTGGGTTTGGAGTTGGGAAGAGTGGCTGAGTGACCCTGGACAAGTCCCTCCACCAACCTCAGTGGTCCTTTGGTGACTCTGTAGGAAAAGAGTGCCCCACCTGGGGTCCCTGGGTAATTTTCAGGTGGGAAAAAATGCTACTTTTATTGTCATTAACATCTGGTGTTAAAAGTATGACTGTGAGTTTTGCATTTGTGAAACCATTATTCTACTTTACAATATATTACTTGACTTTTAAATGAAGAGGGGATCACTAATTAGGAGGGGAGAATTTGGAACTCAGAATTTTTTTCAAAAAGAACATAAATAAATTAAAAAATAAACCTTCACAAAACAAACACAGCAACAAGACATCACCACATTATTCTGAGAAGGGCTCACCCAGACTGTCAGGAGCCCAGGCCATCACACAAGTAGAGTGACAAGCCCTTAGAAGCCATGGCAATCCCTGATTATCAGTGGGGAAGGGATTTCCCGCAGTAGTAGCTGCAGGGGAACCTCTATATATTAGCGAAGACAGGGGCCCAGAGTACAGACAGGGAGCAAGCCCAGCTGCTGGAAAGGTGCTGAATACAAACCAGGGAAGCACTGTGTCCCTTTGAGGACCAGAGACATCTGGGGGCAAGGTAGGAGAAGAGTGGAAAGACATTCACTGGCTCTGGAGTCACAGGTATTAGGTTTGAATTTGACCTCGCATCCTGACTGCCTAAGTGATCTTGGAGAAGTCCCTGGGTCTCAGTTTCCTCAGGAGTAAAATGAAGAGCTCGGCCTCCAAGGTCTTTCCAGCTCTTATAGGCTCAAGTCACTCCCCCTGCCTCAGTTTCCTCCTCTGTAACATGAGGAAGTTGGACCACAAGGCCTCTGCTGTCCCTTCTGTGAGCCTTTGATCACTCCTGTCCTCCTCTGAAATATAATAAATTCCAGTATCTCTTCTAAATAGACAGGGAAACAAGCAAGAGACCAGCTCTCAAGCATTTGGTAAGCATCAGCTCCTAATTCAAAGGCTTTGTATCACCACAGAATGAGCCCACAGACAATGGAACATACCATGTGTCTTCTGAAGGAGAGGCCAGGGCCTCCACAGGGCATGCTCAGAAATGAGCTAACCACTCCTGGGTCTGGACCTGATCCTACGGCTGGTTGGCTGGAAGAGCCCCATTCACCACATCCACGCTCCCCAGAGCAGAAGGGGGGGTGATCAGTCCACAGACATTTAGGGATCACTCACTCTAGGCCAGGCCCAGTCTCAGAGGGAGGAAGGAGATGCAGCCCACAGCCCTGGGTGGAAAGAGCCTCTGAGTGCCTGGAGATGCAAAGATGAAAGCCAGGTTCCAGGGCAGCCTGTGCTAGGAATTGGCTGTGTGGCTGAGGGCAGGTCTTAGTACCTCTCTGAGCCTGGTTTCCGGGGTCAGATGATGGCCTTAGGTGATGAGGTTCACTGAGTGCACATTGACTCACTCTCCCTGAGCAGAGCCCAGCAGTGGGAGAGAGACAGAGAGGGACTGGAGGTGCCCCACTACTAAGTGAACAGCATGGGAGAGTTGATGGCTGGGCTGGAGACTGAGGCAACCTGACCAGAGGCAGGGCAGCCAAGAGGATGGGCTGTCGTCTTCTTCTGATCTCTTCTCCCCTCATCTCTTCTACACTGTACTCAGGAGAGGACCCCATATCCTGAGGGTATGCCCATATCCTGATCCAGTTTGGATGTTTCCCTGTCACCAACCCCAGTACAATGCTCTCACAGACAGACAGATAAACACACATACATATGCTCACACATACATATGCTCACACACACACACACACACAAACACACAAACTGATTCTCCATCTTCTGGGATCAGTAGATCAGGACTTATCTCTCAACTCCACAAGGGACCTGGTTACCTCTCCTCCCTTTAGGTGGGGCTAGGTGTCCTATCCCCCATTACCTCCTGCTTTCCTCTACTGGGTGCCATTTCTCTATTGACAGCATCCCTTCCCCTCCCCCTTCAGATCAGCCCCCACTTTCCCCTTCTCTCAGCTCTGAAGGTTGATGCTGCCTTAACTTCTTTCTCCCCACTCTCTCTCTTCTAGACCCAGGAACTATGACTCTAGCAACAAGGGGTGCCTCAGTTTCCTTCTCTGTAAAAGTGAGGATGTTGTATTAAATTACTCCTGAAACCCCTATCACCTCTAAATCTCTGATCCTAAGGGGATCTTTCTTAGAACACTCTATGATATGAATTCCCAACTCCCTTGCTCTGACTGGTTCAGGGGCTTCCCTTCGCCCATACGCACACTCTCCAGGGGGTTGAGCTTGGGGCCCTGTATCCAACTGAGCCAATCAGACTGGTTCAAATTTCTGGAGCATCAAGTGTGGGACACATTGTTATGTGTCCTGAGCCACCAGTCAGAAGGCTGGGATCCATTAAACTTCCAGGTGTTAGTGGGTCAATGGGAGGGGTGCCCTGAGTACTGGAGGGGCCATGTGGCTCCTGCACAGATTTTAAGAGGAATGAGAACCCTGTCCCCAAGGGCTGTGATGCCCATGCTGGGACCCTCTATGTCTTTCCCTGGGACTGTTGATGTGCTTGTCCCCCTGTCCAAGGACTGGTTTATTTACTACTTTATTTTTAAGGTATTATGTTGCTCTAGGAAGGGTCACATGACCTCTCCTAAATGTACTCAAATCTCATCTTCTCCAGCCCTAGGAACTTGGAAATGAATAAGTAAACCAGTTTTAATTGCTGTGTATCTGCTGCCTAGTGTTTGGCCATCACCAGATCCATCCCCCACAAGTGCTGGAAAACCCTGGGAAGGAAACGATATGAGAAAAGGCAGAGGGAGCTAACTAGAACCCTGAAGGAAGATGGGGCTGTGGGCAGGCACACAAGATCTCAGGCCTGAACATAACTGAGTTCTGAAGACAGAGAAGACTTTGGAGGGGCTCCAGCCCTGCATAGGCTGGATAGACCCAGGCCAAGTCACTCAATTCCTTCTTCAGAGAGAACATATGGTCGTTTCTTAGATGGAAAGGGTGAATAGGAATAGCCAGAGAGCCCTGACTTGTCAACCAGAAAGTGGGTGACCTCCCAGACTCTATGTGGCTTCTGTGTCTCACCCTGTGAGGAAGGAGGAAGTAGCATAGACCTGGGTTAGGATGCTGGCACTGCCCTATCTGCTGTGTGACCAGGGGTGTCACCTGCCCACACTGGACCTGTTTCCTTTTTTGTAGAATGAGGATCATGACCCAGGAAGGGGAACAGAAGTCTCAGATGCAAGACCCCATACTCTCAAAGGTACTTCCTCCCCTAATTGATTGTGTTCCTTTCTTTCTTTCTTTCTTTCTTTCTTTCTTTCTTTCTTTCTTTCTTTCTTTCTTTCTTTCTTTCTTTCTTTCTTTCTTTCTTTCTTTCTTTCTTTCCTTCCTTCCTTCTTTCTTTCTTTCTTTCTCTCTTTCTTTCTTTCTTTCTCTTTCTCTTTCTTCCTTTCTTTCTTTCCTAAATCAAACAGGGTTAATTAACTTGCCCAAGGTCACACAGCCAGTAAGTGTCAAGTGTCTGAGGCTGGATTTGAACTCAGTTCCTCCTCACTCCAAGGCTGGAGTTTGATCCACTGGGCCCTTAGCTGCCCTTGTGGTCCTTCTTTCTTGAAGAGGACCAAAATGACATCACTACATTGAGGTCAAAGAACAGTGTGTCCACCTCTGCCTGAACAGACCAATACAAGCTGGGAAGGCTCTAACACATGTCAGGCACAAACAGTCCATATGAACAACTTCTTCTTCCAGAAAGAGTTAAAGTTTTCAAATATTTCTCTCCAAACAACACTACTTTCCCAGTTGTTTTGGGTTTTTTTAGGCAATTGGGGTTAAGTGACTTGCCCAGGGTCAAACAGCTAGTTAAGTGTCAAGTGTTTGGTCTGAGGCAAGATTTGAACTCAGGTCCTCCTGACTTCAGGGAAGGTGCTCTATCCACTGCACCACCTAGCTGCCCCATACTTTCCCATTTTAAAATATCTGTTTGACAGTTTTAAAATACAGGGTTCATTTTACCAGTCAGACACTCGTGAATTTTTTTTTTTAGCATTCTTATATCAGGGACAAGATGTAGGTAAAGAAAGAAACAAGTGGCATATAAAAACTGAAATGTTCTGAAGTTTCAGGGTCAGAGAACCAAATTTAAGACACTGTACTAAATTATATGAAGTTTTGTTATTTTCAGATTTTAGCAAAATTGTCTAGGCAGCTTCTACAAGTGATTTGGAACCAGAGAAACAGCTCCTCCAGAGCTGTCTTGAGAATCAGATCTCTTCCAGAATGTCCAAGAGAAGATGTTTGCTGGCACCAGAGGGCTACAGGAGGCATCTGGGCTTCAAAATCTGCTGATTAAATGGACATTGGGAGTGGGTTACTAGGGTGCAAGGAGACTTGAGCTTAATTAATCTTGATGATCATTATTGTTTTCCTTGGACCTTGTTTCATGCAGTTTATATTTATGTTGAAGTTTTCTTGGTTACCTCGTTGACATGTAAATCTCTCTTCTCAAAATTAATTCATTGTATGGCCTCTAAAGAGTTTGGTTTGTAACCTGACTTAGATAATTCTGATTATAATTTATGAAAACCCTGATGGGCTTAATTTACAGATAAATAATCCAGGGGAGGAGTGGGATTTCCACTCCACCATTAATTAAAAGGGAGAATTGTGGAGACTGAGGGGAACAGAACAGCAAGTGATTAATTCTGGGAATTGAGTGAACTTCACTGATTCCATCCCAGGATTCAATTCTGGAGCTAATCCAGTTCAATTTCTCCTTAATTATGGGTCTAGTACAAATTCTTTCTCAGGGAAAAACTTTCTTCAGTTGAGGGAATTGGGAGAAAGCCTTATTATA